GTAGCTCCTCTTCAATGCAAAAGATAGGACTGTCCTGGGGAGCATCTCTCCTGCGCTCACAGTTGAAAGAAATTTTACTTGCACACCACCTCCCGCCACAGTGCTGACGTCACATTTGTCTCCTATAAAGTGCTGCTGATTGACAGGTTTATATAAATATTTAGCAACAAGGTTTGGCTAACTGCATGCAGTTAGGCTAATGCTTTATTTTGCTTTCCTTGCCTCCTTTTTCAAACGTAAAGATCTGACCAAGCATAGATTAAGGTAGGTACGACTGTATTAAAGCACTTATCGGAAAATGTTTTAATGCTTTTTCTTGTGGCTATTCACATAAATATACTGGTGGGATACCTTAGTATACATTTGATTGGTTTTTGGTATACGTCTATTTTGAAGTCATAGCCCCCACCCCGGAGAAAACTCCACCCACCACAACTGTGTCAGTCACCAAATCAAAATCATATAGAAACGCTGTGAGTAAGAAAAAGAAAAGGTATTATAAGTAGAGCCAGGATGTTTGAGGCTTGGAACCTGGTAAAGTAACATGAAGGTAGAACCCAGTGGCTTAAGGGTTTTTTAGTATTGATCAATATAGCAGATATTTTTTTTTACGACTGAGGGACATTATAATGGTCATGATAAATATCAGGAGTTTATAGAATTTGTCCTTTTACAATAAATTTTGAGAAATTTAAAAACGGTACTTTTATTGATATTTAGTGTATAAATATATTACATAAAACCTCAACCTCAACACTGACACAAAGCCAACAGATGTGTTTATTACCATTATGTGTGAATGCTACCTTAGTTCTTCTTCTCTTTGCTCATACTATCTTACACTCATATTACAGCCATTTACACTCAGCTCCCGTCTCTGCACAATGCTGCAAATGGAGCAAATGGAGGCCAAAAGCTCCTCAGCTCCATTCTGTCTTATCATTGACTTCTTATATAGAGAATGGGGAGCTCACAGAGTGGACATCAAGTATTTCATCATAAAGAGGTACATAAAATGACCACCTTGAAATCAGACAGCTTAAGAGGGTGAAAATAGACTTGATGCAACCTGATAAATTACTGTAATGTAAGCCAGCAATCTCCACATTCAAACAAATATTGGGTCAAGAGATTATCAAAAAACTGACTATAATCATGATTAGGTCAGTGGTGATTATGAGTCATATGAGAGCAACTTCAACATACCTTATTTACCTCACATTAGGATTTAACCTTTAATCCTCCAATGAGTGTCTAAGCAGGTTAATTAATTTAGCCTTTAATATTAAGCAATGGGAGATCTGTATATAACATACTTGTTTCAAAATTAATGGCCAGAGCAACAAATAATTAAAGTGTTAAGTGGGTCATTGTTCCTTGATGCTGTATTATTCAGGAAATTGTTAGTGGTTTTATATTATTAGCTCATTAGTTGGTCTGATTAATGCTATATTGACACTTTTCAGCAGCAGTTATTTGTTACATCACTTCACTTCCTGTTTCAGATCAGAGAAAGATGACCTCAATAAGTGCAGTTTTAAAATGATGGTTTTATGTCTACATTGGAAGATATAAGGCTCCATGGGAGACAGATAAGGACAGCCCTTTGTTATTACATCACAAGAAGGGGAATCACTCAAGCAGAACCAATCAGACAACACAAAGCCGGAAAAATAGCACATAATGACACCATCTATCCCAGAATAGCTGGGAAACAGTTACTTAATACTATAACTCTTAAGAACAGAGCTCCAAAACCTATAAAAAAGTCATCATCTCACTGTAGTTGTGTGTATTTTTTCACAGTCCCAACAGAGACTTTGGATGCAGTATTTGTTAAAAATTTCTATCATCAGTGCCATGGATCCACATAAAAACAAAATTTCAATGCTACAGTATTGATGACCACATGTCCACTTTAGGTGGCCTAGATGCTAAAGCCCAGAGGTCTCAAGTAACAAAGTACAAATACTTAGTTACTGTACTTAAGTACACTTTTTAGGTATCTATATTTTACTCCATTACTTATTTTTCTTCCTACTTCTGACTTCTACTCATTACATTTTCACACAAGTATCTGTACTTTCTATTCCTTACATTTTTAAAACAAACGTAACTCGTTACTCTTGGCTTGGGTTTTATGTTTATAAATATTTTTTTACGTCATGTGTGCTATCCAATGCAGATCATTGGCACCATCTACATCTAGTTAAAAGAAGTGTAATTGGATGAGTCATATAACGCAAACACTCATTGGTTAACTCGTCAAATTTATGCTGACGCCAAAGAAAATCATCAGAAGCAAGCCGGTGTTCTACACACTGTAAACGTGAATTGCCTATGCCATGCTAAAATGTTGGATTAGGACAAAGATGTAGAAATGTCTGAAAAGTGGGACACAGGCGAGAGCGTATCGGGAGATGGAGGCGGAGACCAACAAGACCTCCCTCATCCTTGGGCCTATTTCAAAGAATTTTTAGTTGAAAAATTTAGCTCTCAATTCATATAGAGGTATCTGGCTGATTTTTAAAGGTTACTTTATACTTTTATACTTTAAGTAGATTTTGGAGAACATACTTTTTTATTTTACTTGAGTAAAGAGCGCAAGTTGATACTTCAACTTTTACCAGAGTTATTTTAAACAGCAGTATCTATACTTCTATTTAAGAAACTAATGTGTGTATTTTTGACACCACTGCTAAAGCCTATACAGAAATGAAGGTTAAAAATGAAAACATTAAGTGAAACGTTGGGAAATTTCAAATTATAACAGTATATTCTTAAAAAGGGTAAAAACAAATCTCTCTGGATTTGGGACGCTACTGCAGAGAAGCATTTTCTCCTTAAATGGCGACAATGTGGACTAGCTTCCAAGTAGCTACCAGCCTACAAAACATCAATATGGCATCAATGACTCATCCAGGGGGTTAAATAAGGACCCACAATAACACCTAAAGCTCTGCAGCCTGCATTTTCTTCATTTTTTAAGGTCATTTCAGGACTTAAAAACGAGAGAGAAAGAGACTAAGACACTAATTGGGGATGTACAAGGTTAGAACAACTGCTAACCAAACACAACTTCTGCTCATTCTATCTATTCTCCCATTCTGCAGAATTTGTTATTTCAATCTCTAATGTTCTACTCTCTCTGCTTTTTCTCATAGTAGCTTTATCTGGTCTGTTCCTGTTTGACACCATCCTGGAGAGAAATAGCAGCTGTGCTGCTGCCATCAACACCTTTGTTTATAGATGTTGGCCTGTTGTTCAGTGTAGTCCTGTTTCTCTGACTCTGACTAATTGGACGTGCTCTCTTCATTCACTGACATGGGAGCTGGTTCAGAATTCGTCTGCTTGGCTGTGTTTCCTGGACGGGGTTAGTGGAGCTGGTTCAGAATTCGTCTGCTTGGCTGTGTTTCCTGGACGGGGTTAGTGGAGCTGGTTGACAGTTGCCTTTTGTATCTCTGCTTCTCTCCGTATCTCTGCTTCTGTCTCCTTGAACCCCAGTCGGCCTCAGCAGATGGCCGCTCACACTGAACCTGGTTCTGCTGGAGGTTTCTTCCTGTTAAAAGGGAGTTTTTCCTCTCCACTGTCTCAGCATGCTTGCTGTAAAAGGCGGCCCCATCCAGGAAACACACAGCCAGGCAGACGAGCTCTGAGCCAGCTCCCATGTCAGAGGATGAAGAGAGCACATCCAGCCAGTCACGGTCAGAGAAACAGAACTACACTGGAAAACAGGCCCATCTCCAGCATCTAGAATAAAGGTGTTGATGGCAGCAGCACAGCTGCTATTTCTCTCCAGGATGGTGTCACAGCCAAACAGGAACAGACCAGATGAAGCTACTATGAGAAAAGGCAGAGAGAGCAGAAGGTTAGAGATTGAACTAACAGATTCTGCAGAGTGAGAGAATAGAGATAGAATGAAGCAGAGTGATGAAAAATTGGTCCCTATGTCCTCCAGAAGTCTAAGCCTATAGCAGCATAACTATAGAGATAGCTCAGGCTATCCCATCAAGCTATACAACTCCTCACTTGAAGGAAGGAGGAGGAGATAGAAAGAGGGAAGAGGGTCAGCACCCCCCTCCTTTGACATCATATGCAAAACATTACTTATTGTCACTAATGTGCAATACTCTAACCTCTCATAACACATGCCAACTACTGTGTAGATGTGTGTGTGTTTTTTTTAAACTTATTTCATAAGGTCAACACATCTCTGCAGTACAAGTGCAATAACCCAAGTCATCTGTTGTATAGTCTTTCCTCTGCTCTCTACTATGCAGATATTATTATACGTCAGGGTAAAATATTCCAGGACATTAAAACGTTTTTATTCTTTTATGCTGTTTTTGTACTATATACACTCTTTTTATATTGTCTGTTGTATTTTTATATTTAATGGCATCTTGCTTTAACTCTTTAACCAGAATTTCCATAAAGGAGTAATCCCAAGGGATAAATAAAGTTTAGTCTAAGTCTAAGTCTAGATAATCCTTCATTCTGCTTCCCTAAATGTATTCCTATCGGCTAAACTGCTAGTTTAGGTTAACAGATTTTCAGATAATCGATTAATTATTAAAGCCTAAGATATTTCTCATGACCTAACACAGCTTTGGATTGCTGCTCAACCTAAACTGTCTTCCTTCGTTGATATAGTTGATGCTGTTTCTTATGACTTCACATTGATATTAAATTTGGAAGCATCTGTTTTCTGACTTCTGAAGGCATGATGTTTCAATTAAGTTCAAGGTATCAAAGTAAAGTCGACCTAAATTAAGACTCATTCCAAATATTTTACAAGTATGTTCATAAAAAATATTACTTTAATACTTATTCTACAGCTGCATTGATTGGACAGTTGGTGTTGGATTTCCTGACTTAACTCTGAAACACTTTATGTGGTTGATTTTACCCCTAATTTTACATTAACAGCTTGTACTCACTGTAAAGTGGTAAGTGCATTAAAACTTTATAAAGCTTTAATACTAATAGTACATTCTTACCACATTCCAGAAGAGAGGGTTGAACACAATTGCAATCACTGCAACGCAAAAGCCTGGGTCATGAAAGTTAATGAGTTTTATGAAATCCTCTATCAGCATCAAGTCCATCTGTAAAAAAAGGCAAAAAAAACAACACAAATAAAATAATCATGAAAGTCTTACTTATTTTCTACAATAACACAGATAGAAAAGCCTTAGCGTAATTATTTATTGAATAACTAATAAAGGAGCCAGTAGTTTAATGAAGATTTAAAGTTTTTGGTTATTTGTTTACATTTTTTATTTGTTTAGACTTTTTCTAGAATGTTTTATTTTTGTCACTTCATGAAGAAGAGTTTAGAGTCTAGAGTTTATATAACAGACTTTACAGACAGGCTTATAAGTTCTTCAGTGGAAGAATAAAATTTTTAATATTTTGAGACATCCTATCTACACTCACCGGCCACTTTATTAGGTACCCCATGCTAGTAACGGGTCGGACCCCCTTTTGCCTTCAGAACTGCCTCAATTCTTCGTGGCATAGATTCAACAAGGTGCTGGAAGCATTCCTCAGGGAGTTTGGTCCATATTGACATGATGGCATCACACAGTTGCCGCAGATTTGTCGGCTGCACATCCATGATGCGAATGTCCCGTTCCACCACATCCCAAAGATGCTCTATTGGATTGAGATCTGGTGACTGTGGAGGCCATTGAGTACAGTGAACTCATTGTCATGTTCAAGAAACCAGTCTGAGATGATTCCAGCTTTATGACATGGCGCATTATCCTGCTGAAAGTAGCCATCAGAAGTTGGGTACAGTGTGGTCATAAAGGGATGGACATGGTCAGCAACAATACTCAGGTAGGCTGTGGCGTTGCAACGATGCTCAATTGGTACCAAGGGGCCCAAAGAGTGCCAAGAAAATATTCCCCACACCATGACACCACCACCACCAGCCTGAACCATTGATACAAGGCAGGATGGATCCATGCTTTCATGTTGTAGACGCCAAATTCTGACCCTACCATCCGAATGTCGCAGCAGAAATCGAGACTCATCAGACCAGGCAACGTTTTTCCAATCTTCTATTGTCCAATTTCCATGAGCTTGTGCAAATTGTAGCCTCAGTTTCCTGTTCTTAGCTGAAAGGAGTGGCACCCGGTGTGGTCTTCTGCTGCTGTAGCCCATCTGCCTCAAAGTTCGACGTACTGTGCGTTCAGAGATGCTCTTCTGCCCACCTTGGTTGTAATGGGTGGTTATTTGAGTCACTGTTGCCCTTCTATAAGCTCGAACCAGTCTGGTCATTCTCCTCTGACCTCTGGCATCAACAAGGCATTTCCGCCCACAGAACTGCCGCTCACTGGATGTTTTTTCTTTCTCGGACCATTCTCTGTAAACCCTAGAGATGGTTGTGCGTGAAAATCCCAGTAGATCAGCAGTTTCTGAAATACTCAGACCAGCCCTTCTGGCACCAACAATCATGCCACGTTCAAAGTCACTCAAATCACCTTTCTTCCCCATACTGATGCTCGGCTTGAACTGCAGGAGATTGTCTTGACCATGTCTACATGCCTAAATGCACTGAGTTGGCGCCATGTGATTGGCTGCTTAGAAATTAAGTGTTAACAAGCAGTTGGACAGGTGTACCTAATAAAGTGGCCGGTGAGTGTATATACTGCTTTGCTTTTTTTTATTAGAAAGGCCTCATTAATAAGACATCTTAAAAAGCTTAAAGTGACAATTTGATTTAAAAAATAAAATCATATTGATAAGTTAAAAAACCACCAAGATGTTTGCGTTAACCGAATCGCAAATTTTTTGCAAACAAAATGTCGAAGCGAAAGCTGTTCCTTCTCTGGTTCTGCATGGATTCTCAATACAATTAGGGCCTAATGCAATACAAGTTGTAAAACGGCAATGCAGTAAAATATACCACAGGGAATTCAAATGCTTTCCCCTGTCTGATAGAAGGCAACTGAAATATTCTGAAAACCACAAAAAATGTTTTCCATTCAATCAATCTTAAAAATATATCTGTTCTCACGAAAATGTGAAAAACAACTAATAAATCAGTTATGCTGGTAGAAATGGTGCTTTATCTTTGATAAATTTAGTACTTTACTAAGCAAGGCCAAAGTTGAGAAATCCAAGCTTAAAGTTTAGGAAAAAATAAATAAAAAAATAAAGATTGGAGGTTTGAATCACATTAAGTTATGCATGTTGGTCATTAAACAACACAATTACTTTTATTAACATCATCATTATAGGTAGAAGTAGGATCAGTAACTAGAACTATGAATGATATGTGTCATATTTTCCCTACTGTTTTTATAAATTTGTTATTGTATATATGTAAGAATAGTATAGTAGAGTATTCTGATATTGAAAAGTATAAGTGCATTGATGCTAAGACTTCTACAACCTGTTTCTTTTCTAGAATTTTCTTTCTTTCTTGTGGGAATTTTGTCCTAGCAAGTACTACTTTATATATAAATATACACACATTTTTAGAATGTTCGCTTCAATAAACTTGATAAACTTGGAATATATACTTTTTGCACATTTGAGTACACTTGGAACATAAAATTGAACTATACCTAGTTTTAGTAAGGGTTGGTTATACTGAGCTGTAGTGAATATTTTCAGTCGGTCCTAAATTAAACTAAAATCTAATTTTATTACAAGCCATTAGGAATCTTTTAATATCAAAACGTTGTAAGGAATACAGGTAAAAGCATCAATTTTTTAATGTTACAAAAAACATGTATTTGATCAGTTTTCCAGAACTACAAGCAAAATGTAATGGTTTTAAGTGTTTAATTTCACTGTTGTATAACAATAATCTGAAGAGCTGTAGGATAATAATCATCAACAATCATGATAGTTAAAATGATTGTGTGACAGCGGTACAACGTGTTAAAAATCGTGCTTTTATTTTGGAGAGGGGCTCCCAGCAGCCGGCTTCCGGCAGACTGAAGTCGCGCCGCAAGTTCCAACTTTCAGCGCTGTGCCGTCTCTCAGCCTGCCTTCCAGTTAGGGTGTTATTGCATTGCTGTTCGAGTCCGACATGATTGTTAGTGCTATTTTACCTTAGAATAATCCACGTTGTTCAGACCTCCACAACAGTCGAGCGGGGCGCGCTGGTTGCTTTGCTCAGCCGTCCGCTGTTTGTTCCGCTCATCAGCTGCTCGGCTGTCGCTCATTAACTGTGACGTGGCGGATAGAGCCGCTGTCAGCCGCGTCCACGAGATAACAAATACAGCTCAATAAAGAGGGCAAGGGTCCGGTTTAATCTGTGAGAACAGGCTGGTTGATAGCCTAGCTCATCTCCGTGTAACCTCTTACCTCGCTAGGTGCATTCTGGGAAATGTAGTTCTAATTTATTTCAATCCTTTCCTTAGTTTTGTTATATATTTTAATAGGATAATTTAAAGGTTTTCTGGATATTTCAACAAAATTGAGCATTTCAACTGGTATAAAGAAGCGACAGAACCAGAAGGAAACATTAAAAAGGGGAGAAATAATATGAAATATTTTCACCTAAAGTGACTTGACACACAGGCCTATCAGATAAGATGCACTTCATTAGAACTTTATTACTTATCTTAAAGGAGGTTTGATATAGCAAGTAATCAACAGATATGTGTTTAAGTGTTATTTTAACTATTATAAGGGTGAACACACCATAAGTATAGTACACTCTGACGCCTTCAAAATGAGACTGAAGCAGCTGTGAAGCATAGATTTGGATGAATAATGGTTTGATGGAACTTTCTTCCACTGTAATTTCTTCAGAGTATGACAGAGTGCCAATGTGAATGTCTGCAAAAACAAAAAACCCACTTAGAATTGTGGCTGGTCTGGGCCCTGCAACCTGACAAGTCCCAAAACACAACATTAATTCTGGCAATTCTCACTGATGTAAAGTACTGTGAAGTCTCTCCTTTGAAAAACAAAAACTTGAAAAATTGAAAGCTGGCTCCCTGATTTCATGTGGAGCTGGGCACTTTGAATCAAAATGGTAGGAAGCTGGAGAGAAAGTGGTGCTCTACATGCCTATGGTAATCCTACCTAATCTGTGAAAACAGTTTACTGCTGTATAAAATGACCCTTTTTTGAGCAGGAGTGGCATGTTGCTCCTCATTAATAGAACAGAATAAGAAAAATCCTAAATTTCTTTTTAATACAGTTGCCAAACTCACCCAGAGCCATGGCTCTGTTGAACTGTCCATGCCCCCTGCTATTAGCCGTAATGGTTTTATGGGAATCTTTATAGATAACACGGATTCTATTAAAAGTAAGGCCACTGGCACTCCTCTAAATATGATTGTGTCAGAACTCAGAACTGTGGACCGAGAATTTCAGGCAGACAGACTGGTGTAATTTACAAAAGCATTTATTGACATGTCAAATCTATGACTCAGGTGTAAGGACGAAAAAGGCCAGAATCTCTGTAGAGGGGAAAAGTCAGGTTAGTTGCCACATAAATCTGTTGGAGGACCATTACAAGTGTGTGACTCATTAACCTGGTATTAAGTTCAGTCCCAGCCCAGAAGAGGGAGTGGAATCCAGCAGGATGATTTCCCACAGCACGCGGTGGATGCTGCATAGAGAGTTCAAGGAGCAGAAGCCAAGAAGGGCTGGTTGAAGAGCAGAAGCAAACAGATGAGGGAAAGCAAGAGTTTTCTAGAGGGGGAAGCCAATGTCAATGAGGTAAACAGAACTCTAGGCCAGAAGCTCAGAGATCTGAAGAGGCACCGAAGGGAGATCCTGGTTGGGGTCAGGAAACAGATCCAAGGTTGTAAGCTGGCAGAATCGGGCAGGAGTCTGAAGACAGGTCAGGCAAACAGATCAGAACAGGAACAAGCAGGCTCAGAGGTCCAAAGGCAGAACTAGTCAGAATCAGGAAATCAAAACAACACGCAGGGTACACTAGAGAACTCTCACCACAGGCTCAAATAATCTGGCTCTGATGACTAGGGGCAAGGATCCTAAATAAAGGCAGGAGCAGGTGGATGAGATGATCAGTAATTACAAACAGGGCAGAGCTAGGCAGGTGAATGAAGGGAACAATTAAGCCAGTCATCAGTGCCAAGATTATGACAGATTGTTTTATCTTGCATGCCACACAATATGACATCTTACAGAATAACTGCGTAACACTTATACTTTTAGGTTAAAGGTTGTAGCTGTAGGCCAGCAACAAATTATGTTTAACCATTATTAATGGCTTTATCAGCTGTATGATATCTCTATTCAATTCCATGTATTTCAAATTCTATTTATCTATATAGCACCATTTCACTACACATCTGATCTCAAAGCACTTCACAGAGACAGTTCAATCAGATCATACCTTCAGATTAGTTTTCTGTCAAAGGAAAAGCTGATTGCGTTTATTCTCTCTCTGGAGGAGATAAAAAAGGAAGAGACTATTTAAAATCTGTGACTGTTATACCTGACGATGATCTGCTAAAGTAAGACCTTCTTTTGTGGAGGAGAATGTTGTTATTTTTATGGGATTTTTGCCTACAGTGTAGAGTGTGCACTTCCACAACCAGGTTATTGCAATTTTGTTTTTTATGTTTGTACTTTCTGCACTGCATAACATGTAAAACAATAGGAGTTTTAAAATGGTCTTAGGGCTTAGGTTTCAGCCTGTTTATTTTCGTTGATGATGCTGATGAAGCATCAATGCACTTTGGTTTTCTTTTCCTGTGCCTCATTCATTATTTTTGACTAACATTATAGTGTCTCATTTATCTCTTTTAAATTTTCAACAATTTGTTTTTCTTTTTTTTTTATCTCGTTTTACCCGACTTTTTCCATCTTAAAAGTAATGATTATTTTTCCTTCAATTCCTATTTGTTTTTCTTCTAGATCTTCGTTCAATTAATTTCTCTCCCACTTTGTATTTCTGTTATTGCTTTACTATAAATAGCCTTTAATTACTTGTTCCCAATCATCATTTATTCTGCAATAGTTTCCTGGCCTCCACATGTATAGCCCAATTTCTTTTCTACCTGCCAGAAAAAACACAGCCCCTTGCCAACCCACAATTTGAGTTGAGCATGTCAGATAAGTAGAGAGACCTCATGTGGAGGCAGACGCAGTGGCAGAACCAGCAGGCCTCCAAGCTTGTGATCAAGCATTATGTTGGTTTATTAAGGTGTCTGATTTGGATCATGTAGAGAAAAAAAAGCATGACATCCAGCCAGCAGGTGAAGATTATGGACAAGTTAAGTTTTGGTATATTATTCTTTATTAGGCTTTTTGTTTTTCCTTTATTCCATCCACATGAAACCAGATTGGACACATACAACATAGTGCAACCCATCAAGCAAAAACATTTAACAAAAATCTAAAATAAAAATTCTAGTCTTATGCCTGCACACTGAAAGTAGATTAGCCCTCACACTTGAAGGATTAACATCAGTCATGATGATTGCAGACTTAAATCAAAGATGGAAAGGGAAAATCTTAAATTAAAGAAGCTTTGGTAAAAAAAAAAAAAAAAAAGAAATGTCTATAACATGTCAATATCAAAAAGGCATCACAATGTTAAAGAATCATTCAAGGCCTGTCTGTTGTATACAACCTATAGGGATGTGCTGGCTACCAGATCATAATGTGGTTTAACTCTGGCTATGGTTGAAAAACTGGGTCTCAAAATACCTTTAGGTATTCTCAGAAGAAATTTGGGAATTAGTTACTTCCCAGCAAATTAACAGTTTTTTGCTGAGTGTAAAGAAAGAGTATAAAATAGTAAAAAGAGAGGTTAGTCAAGCATGTTGCAATAATGGCTCAATGTTCACCTATAAGAACAGAAGATGCAAAATACAGTCTATATAGATGCTGCCAATTTATCCATCTATTACTTCATCACAAGTAGGTTGGAAAATATTCAAGCAGTAAATGAGTCAGTAATCTTGCTTAATCCTGGATGAGGCATGTGTCTATCACAGGGAAGATGCCAAACAATTATACATCAAGAATTCATCATTAGCTTACTGTATAATGAAACATCTTTGAGACTCACAGCTTGGACTGTAGGCATAATACACAGACAGAAATCCATCCATCCATCCATCTATCCACCCATCCGTCCGTCCATCCATCCATCCATTTTCTGTCACGCTTATCCCAAGCGGGGTCGCGGGGGTTGCTGGTGCCTATCTCTACCTTTCTATGGGTGAGAGGCAGGCTACACCCTGGAAGGTCACCTAGTCCATCACAGGACAGGCAGAAATACAAAACAAAGAAATAATGAGAATCCATAAAATTCACTTTAACAGGAAGGAAAGCACATTCAGAGGATAGATTTATCTGTAAGATAAAAATTAAAATCACTTTTGAAAGATATAAGACACCTTTAGAAGAAAAAGTGTAAAAAAAATGTCATATTTACTATTTACGTAGTCCATTTTATAGAACTTGCCAGAGCAGTCTATGAAAAAGGTGGATGATGTTTTTGATAGTCGGAGGGGTGAGTTTGTTGTGGTCTTGTTTTTTGCATATGTCTGAGGAGCTGGCCATGTATGTGTTACTTAGTGGGGAAATTTCCCCAGAATTATGCCACATTTTGAGGACTTTTAGGTACTTGTAGGGACCAAGGACGGGTCCCCATGAGGAGAAGTTCTCTTCACGAGGTGGGGTTAGGTTAAGGCCTAAAGAGTGATCTGCTTAGGTCTGGTGAAGAGTTAGGTATGTGTTGGCAATGGTTAGGGTAAGGTTCAGGGTTAGGCCATAGAAATGAATACAATATGAATAGCATTAAATGAAAAGTCCCCACAAGGATAGTGTCACACAACATGTGTTTGGTAATATAGGATAAATCAGATTAGATGTGATCTGGGATTTCCAAAGAGATGAGCTGTGAAGCCTTGTATACTCCATAGATTGTTGCCTTCAGTTGACATCATTTTGCACTGAAGAACGCAAGACCAAAGAGTATAATGCAGTTGTGGTCAACAGATGAGAATGTCCTGGCAGTCGTTAGCTTGTCAAACATTTTGACTACCGTATTTTCACGACTATAAGGCGCACTTAAACGTCTTTTTTTTCCCTCAAAATGTGCGGTGCGCCCTTTGGTGCGGTGCGCCTTATGTGTGTTGTAACTGCGACTTTTGAGACCACCTCATTGAGGAGATGATGAAAGAGTGGCTGAATGTAAGGAGACCAGGTGTTTTTTTTCCACTCATCACCATCGCTGTTAATATGTAACTCCATGCGTGCCCATCTCACAGCTGATGTGAAAAACATGGGGAAACAAATTAACGCTGTGCTCGCTGTTCAACCGCTCGACATCGGTGTGAACCGGACCCAGCAGGTGCAGCAGAAGCAGCGAGTTTACA